AGGTGTTTGTTGTGACCACTGGAGAGCAAGTGCAGAAGGGAGAAGCAGAGTTTTACCTGATGGACTTCTCCTCAGGCTGCAGCTACTGCTGTGGGGGATACTGCAGTAGCAGCATGGGTTCAGGCTGCTGTAGCTGAGAAATAAGCAGCAATACAGGCTCTCTGGGGGACCCTCCCGGTGCCTCTTTCTGTGTCCCCAACCCTAGGCACAGGACTATTCCTCCCAAGGCACAGCCTCCCAAGGGTGGAAGGGTGCCATTCTAACCATGATACTCCAGATACAGTAGTTTGGGTATGAGGTCTATGCCTCCCCAGTTGCTATGGCTGGGCAGTGCAGAACCCCTAGAGTTATGCTACTGTACTTTTCCTTACCAAATCCTCACCCCGGTTCATTGTGATTTAATATGAAAAGCAAATGGCCAAAGCTGAACTTGTCACAGTTGCTCCCATCAGAGAATTCCCCTGTCATGGGCATTTGTGGATTGACTATGATTCCTGAACTGGACTATAAACAGAGTAGGGTTTATACTAGCTATTCCAGAAATTGCTTTTTCTGCTTATTTTTTTAAAGAAAAGTGCCAGAAATCTGAGTTGTCCTGTCAGTATAAAGTTTTCTGCTGAAATCCTTTTAAAGTGAAATTTCCAAAGAAATGGTGGTCACATCTACACATGCATTTTACTGCAATTAAATGTATGTGTAGATGCTGGCTGCAGGTGTAAATTGTGCCCAGTCAGTCCAGCCAGCTGAGGGCCAGACTCCTGTTTGCCACCTAGCCACATGGATCTGAACTTTCAGCACCCTTTTGCTTCAGCCAGCCTCTCCACCACCTGACGCTTCCACCCAGAGCCCAGGGTTGAGCAGCCTTGGTGTAAACTGCTCCACCCCAACCCAAATTGCTGCTGTCCTGGGTACACATATAGACACTGTGCTCAGCAGCTGTTTACTCCAGCTCAAACTACTCTAGAGTTTATTGCTTTGAATTAATTGCATGTGTAGATGGACTCACTGGGTGCATCTACACTTGACGCTACATTGTTCTAGCAATGTGCTTTGGCAACCTAGCATTTGTAGGCAAAACCTGTGATATTACAGCTACGTCACTGTAGTGATGTGCTCCCCCATTATAGTGCATTGCTATAGTAACATACTGCTTAAGAATAACTGTGTGTGGTGCACACAGTGTAGTACCAGCTGTTACTGAACCATCTTTTAGTACTTCCAAAAGGAAGTACTAAATGATGGCACAGTAACAAAAATACCATAGCAGCATGTGTAGATGCACCCACTGAGAAGAAATTCTGCTTCCTTAACCATTTTTTCACTTTCCTCCCTCATGCAGTGTGTCCTCCTTACTTTGTATTTCTTTAGACAAAGAAGATTTTGTATAGTTCTATGTACCAGACATAAAAAGGCAATCAAAATGATCAGGGGGAATGAAGCAGTTGCCATTCCAGGAGATTCTAAATAGGCTGGGACTCCTCAGTTTGAAAAGGACAAGGCTGAGGGGGGATATGATAGAGGACTATAAAATCATGAAGGGCATGAACCAAGAGAAGAGGTAACTGTTGTTTACTAAGTTCCAGAATACTAGAACTAGGGGGCACGTTCTGAAATTAGTAAGTGACAGGTTTAAAATTAACAAGAGAAAGTATTTTTTAATGTAAGGCATAGTTAACCTGTGGAATTCATTGCCACGTGATGTAGTGGAGGCAGGTAGCATAGTCAGATTAAAAAGAGATTGGATACATTCATAGATAATAGATCTATTAATGGCTATTGAACAGAATGGTTGGAAATTTTTCCTCTGGTATCTCTAAACCAATAATGGTGGATGCCAGGGAGGGTACTGAATACAGGATAGATCATTCTGAAGATATCCAGTTCAATGTTCTCTCTTTAAGGCATCCACTTCAGCCACTGTCAGAAACAGGTTACTGGGGTACATGGACCATTTGTGTGACCAAATATGGTACTTCTTATGTTCCTATGTTCTTATGACAATCAATTCATTACTCTCCTCTGTCCAAACTGGTAGCATTACAGAAGATTTGGAGAAATCTTTATGCACATTCCTTAATGGAGCACAGTATCCTATGGAGCACATATTTAGTAGTGTAGAGCTGTATATAGCTGTAGCTGTATATAGCTATAGCTGTAGAGCTGTATAGAGCTGTATATGCCAACTCCTGTGCAGGTTTGTAGCTGCATATCACAGTTTAGTCTATAACAGACATTTAATGATGATGAAAAAAAGAATCTTGATGGAGGAACACAGTATCTGTATGTGTTTGCTGCTGGCCCCTTTCTGAGTGACTAAGGGTCTATCATCTACCTCCACGGTAGTCTTGAGAAGGCTACAAAAAAACATGATCCTACCCACCCATTTCCTCTCAGCATTCACCAAACCTAGAAATGAGGTAATGGTGCCACCCTGGGGCTTCTTGTGCCACTATTTTTGAGCATTCCAGAGACAGAAATCAAGATCAGGGGAGCTGAGACTTCTCCAGGGTCACTTCACCGAGTCAATTCGGCATTTGCAAAGTGTGGGTGGAGTTGTACCATTTGACAGAATTCCACAAGTGCCATGTAAGTAGTACAGACTTGTCCAAAGACTATTCTGTATTTTTCACTTTCCTCTTCATGAAATATCTTGAAAATATCTCCAGGTGTTCTTTCAGTGGCCATTGAACTGGGATGGTATAGACTGCTCAAATGCTGGTAACCACAAGGGTAGAATATATTTAACCTGACAAACTTCTTTATTATGGTGCTATGGTAGATTTAATTCACTATCGTCTACATAATTTACATATTAGCGACCTCTTACACATGGTACACTTTAGATTTAGAATGACATTTCTGACATTTAAATGCTTAAGAGAAATCTGTAACTCAGAATCCTTACTGTAATAATTCAGGAAAGCTTGAAGGGATAATTTAAGTACCCTAATGTAAGTGTATCATTTCACTTTACGTTTTTTAATATCAAGGAGCTTTTAGGGAAATGCTTTTGTTGTACAACACAATGTTTAAGTATATTTAATTAGCATTAATTTCCAGGTCTCATCTGGGTGCTTAAAGATAATTTTATAAAGCATTCTTGAACATTCTCCAGAACCAGTGAAATGACAAGTGCTTCACATGAAAGGAAAATAAAACTTTGGTGAAGATAAAACCCCTCTTCGTCATTGACAGAATCTCTATCTCATGTTGTCTGACAGTTGATTGCAGCAGGTTACCACAGCCCTACATCTCTTTAACTGAACTGGCAGTCCAATTGCCAGCAGAGACTTTTCAGTTGCTCTGCAGTTAACAGGAAAAGTCATGCAGTGGGATTTATGACCTGGGCTGACTTGGATCATATGTTAATGTTAGTGCCAATGTGGAAAGAAAAGAGGCGTTCATTCATGTTTGTGGCACATGACCCCTTTCCTCTTCAGGAATTGTTCAGCTTGTAAACGCAACTGTGAACTCATAAAACAGTGCTTGCTAGAATAAATCAGTAGCTAACACAGTATGTAATACTGAAATGGAAGTCCTAGAACATTGAATCTTGTTCTCTGCAGTTGCAGACAAGTATTTCACAATTAAAAAAAAAATGATTGAATTTCATCTTGAAATTAGTTAGTTCCCCATCCTTCAACTTCTATTGAAAGCAGAAGTTGGTCAGAAATTTTATAAGAAAGCAAAATGCCATCAATAATGCAGATTTGTTGAAACTAAAGTATTTGGTTTGAAACATCTCAGGATCAATGGAATTTTGTTGCATCCAAGGCAGGGCTTTACATGGATTCCTGTTCCATCTGTTCATGGGTCCTAAATCTTGGAAGCTACAAGGCCTTGCCTAGAGCAGGAAACTGTTGGATCACTCCACACAGCTCAAAAATTGTACAATGAACATCAATGAACAATGAATGTACAATGAACAATGAATTGTACAATGAACATCAATTTCTAAGGGCAACTGTATGGCACCAGGAACTTCCATCTTGCTGGAAATCAACTAAATAATAGGACTGTGCAAAACACCATCATTTCGTTTCAATGTCCATTTCGCCGTTTCAAAGGGACAATGTTTCATTTCATCAATTCATTTAATTTCATTTCATTTCAAAGCACTGTCCCATTTTGTTTCAACAAGTTTCAACATTTCACCCATAGGCTATAATGGGGAATCATGAAAATGCCTAAAACTTTGTCATTGCTTGCCTGATTTGGGTGAACACTGCAGGGATGGTAGCCTGTTCTGAGGGCATGAAGCCTGCCAAGTTTCAAGGAGATAGGTGCACAAGTTTCTGGGAAACTGCACTTCAAAGTGATCAAACCAAAAGTCCTGACACTTGTCAGCAGCAGCAGCAGCCTCCTGCCATCTGATGTGCAGCTCCATGGGCTCGCACCCCTGTGAGAGCTGTTGAGCTGTGCTGGACTCCTCCCAGGGGTGCAAGCCCCTGGATCTGCATGCAGGATGACAGGAGGCTGCTGCTGCCACCTGGGACCAGTGGCAATAGCAATCTTCTTGGGCATTGGGCACAGGCTGCACCCAGTGCCAGTCCCAGGTGGCAGCCTGAGCCTCCTGTCATCTGGCACAGATCCTGGGAGGAGTCCGGCACATCTCAGCAGCCCTCCCAGGGCTGCGAGCCCATGGATCAGCACCCTGGTGAGAGGAAGCTCAGCCTGCTTGTCCCACTTGGGACTGGCACTACCCGCTCCTTTCCCTGCCCAGCTGCAGCGCCCCATGCCTCCCCACCCAGCTGCAGCCCTCCCGCAGCTTACCAGTGTCAGCACCTGCGCTCTTGCCCCCCTGCATGGTGGGGGGCAGCCTGGCTCGGTGTGAGCCGCCAGGTATCCACCGCCTCTGCCACAGCTTTGAAACAAAACACCTGGCAAAATTTTGCACAGCCTTCTTAAATAACTGTGATCCCAGATTGAACTAAAACCTATCTGTAGTTAAAATTAAATAATTGATTCTCCACACTGGATAAAAGACCACAAACCAAGAGTAACAATAACCAGCATTTTCTGAGGCATGTGCAGATGGGAGGGCATATGGATTAGTGTTTTAAAACAAGTTTATTGAGCTGAAAATAAGTTTGAATTCATGACATTTCTGTGTGGGGAAAAAATCCCAATATGTGTGTGGCATAAAACCCAATATGAACAGAGAAACAATACAAAGCAACCTATAGAAGTCTGAAAAGCATTTATCTGGAATTATAAGCACATAAGAACTACCATTTTCTGGACCAGACAATAGGTTCATCTTTCCTAGTATTCACAGTGGCAGAGAGTGGATGCTGAAAGAGCGAGTAAGCAGGGTATGACCAAGGTTTTTTCCATGCTTCCTCTTCCACTTGCAGCCTCCAGCATTTAGGGTCTAGGGAGTTCTGATTCAGAGTCTATATTCCTAACTCCCATGCCAACAGCTATCAATGCCCCTTTCCTGCAAGAATTTTTCCAATCTCTTTTTCAATCTGGATAGACTGTTAGCTCCCCCAGCATCTGGTGGTAATGAGTTCAACACTTTAATTACCTGTTGTGTGAAAAAGAAATTGCTTCTGTTACTTTTAAACTTACTTCCTACTGGTTTCATTTTGTGATTCCTAGTTCTTGTATTGTGATAATAAACAATGTATTTCTGTTTACTTTCCCTTCAACATTTAATATTTTGTAAACCCTTATGATTTCCCCCAAGTGTCTCTTCTCTAAACTGTGTAAGCTAAGTCTTTTTAGTTTCTCCTTATATGAAAACCCCTCAATACCACTTATCATCCTAACTTGTTCTTTTCTGTACCTTCTCCATTTTTTCTATATCCTTTTTCATGTGTGGGGACCAAAACTGGGTCCAGTAGTCAAGGTGTGTATGCATCATGAATTCATAAAGGGACATGATGATACTCACTGTTTTGTTTCTTATTCTCTTCTTAATAATTCCTAAAAAATTTTCTGTCTTTCTGAAGACTGCTGAGTATTGAGATGATGTTTTTAGTGAACTGCCCACAATGACTCCCAGACTTTTCCTATGTCATAACAGTTTTGGCAACCACACTTTAGGGGAGATGTGGACAAACTGGAGAATCCAGCGGAGAGTAAAAAAAATGATTAGTTGTCTAGGAAACATGACTTTTGAGGAAAAAAGTTACAGATACTGAGATTATTTTTGGAGAAGAGAAACCTGATCGGGCTTTGATAACATTCTTCATAATCACACTTTAGGTATCTGAAGAGGATGGTAATTGTGGCAGTGGTCTTAAACTGCCACAAAGGATTTTTCATTTGGATATTAGGAAGAAATTGCTAATGATGAAGGTGATAAACCATTTGGAGAGTGTGTGGAATCTCTGTTCTTGGAAATTGTTAAGAGCAGGTTAAACAAACACTTGCCTATGGTGGTTTAGATAGGGGAGATCCTGCTTTGGGCCAGGGGGTGGGCTGGATGGCCTCCTGAGGTCCCTTTCTTTCCTATGTTTCTAAGACATTCTAAGACTTATGAGCACGACTTCTTAAATTAATTCCTCTGCTGAAGCAGACAAGACTGACATCTGCAACACAATGCAATCTTTCATCTACAGGAACTATAGTACAGACCATAATTGTTTGAAAGAAAGTGAAAGAGCGATAGAGAAACCAGTAGATACATTTGTTGATATAGCTATTAATTTTGTCCTTAAATATCAAATAGTGAACATACACCATAATTGAAATATTAGTTGTGTTAATTTGCATACTGCAAAACAAAACCAAAATATTTCTGAAGCTTATAGGCGTGTGTAGATGAAACAGGGGCCCTAAATTGAAGTGGTGGGTTTTAAAAAGCACCGCTTCAATTTAGGGTGAAGTAAACCCCTGTGTCATGTACACTTGTGTCTTACCTGCCTCTCCAGTGGTAAGGAGGGGAGGGTGAGCTGCTGGAAGGCAGAGCAGTCCTTGGGCGGGG